TCATTTTCTCCCCCATTTACAATAAAATATGTTTTCTGTAGTCGGCATAATCTCGTTGATACATTGATATAGATAAAAAGTCAAGGAGGGCATTTGATACGTCAGGGAAAACGAAAATTTATCTCCATTTTCGGTCTGTTTGTAGTGAATAGATATGGCAGGTATGGGCGCAGTTGGGAAATGAACAAGGGGTGTGTATTTTGATGTTAAAAGTCATGAAAATTCAAAGAGTGGCTTGTTGATTTCAGGTGAGCATGTACGAAGTATTTTCGAAAGTTAGTTGTTGTGGAGAAAGCCAGAGTTCTTTTTGACATTTGGGTTCTCAACTTTCCACTGTCCATTGTATTTTTGTCAAGAAAAAACGAACTATATTTTATTAACTTGTATTTAACAATTTAACTTTTCGTTCTTTTCTGAAAATTTGTAATCCTGTATGCAGATCACTTCGACATATTTCACTAATCATTCAGACATATGAAATCTTCAAAGTTGTTGATATTCGAAAAACTGGACGTTTCATGAATATTAGCCAAGTATTATCCATTCATAAAGAGCTGTTTGAAATACCGCGTGTCAAGGAATCTATTAGACAAGTCATACCTTCTAGATTAGTACTGTCTTGTTATAGATCACCTGATGGTAACTATGATATTTTCATCAACAATCTTTCCATTATACTTGATAATCTCCATAAACCAAATGTTGATATAATTCTAGCTGGTGACATAAACCTGAATTCCACCAATAACTCACGTAGCGTAACATCAATTTCTCAATTTGGAAAATATGTTCACAAGCTTCGGTCTCAAATCAAAAGTGGACTGGCCTACTAGACTAACACCTAATTCGCATAGTATAATAGACCATGTTTTCACAAACATACCGAACATTGTAATATGTGTTCTAGATAATACAATCTCCGATCATAGATCAATATTAATTGAAACCAATCTTCACGAAAAATCCATCCCATCATCATCCAATACATATAGGAGATTCTTCAGTTCACAAAAACAGAAGGATTTTCAGTCATCTCTCATGGACGAAACCTGGCAGAATGTCATTGGAAACTCAAATGTGGAAGAAGCTTTCCAAACTTTTTATAGTATATACCTTTATCATTTTAATCATGCCTTTCCTCTTAAAAAGTGTCATCTCAACCTATCAAAAAATTGGGTCACAGATGAAGTAAAAACATCAAGTAGAAAGTTAAAAGATCTAAACATCCTCAAAAACTCTTATCCAGGGTTGGCAGAAACTTATAAAAAATCAAAAGAACTACATCGTAGATTAATATTAAACACCAAGCGTAAGTTTTATCAGAATAAAATAACGGCATCCGACAACCCCACAAAAACAGCTTGGCAAGTGATAAATGATATTAATGGTTCCTCAGATGTGGGAAGAAATATAACTATTCTTCATAATAGTGAGTATGTCACGAATCCCCAAGAAATTTCAGACCTCTTCAATGAATACTTTCTCTCTATACCTAAGAAAATCACCGATGATCTCAAATGTAATACCCTAAAAAATAAGTATAAAAATCCTCCTAACATTCCAGAAACTATATTTCTTGTCCCTTTTTCAGAAACAGAACTCTTATCACTCTTAATGAACAAACTCAAAAATAAGGGATCGTCTGGACCTGATGACGTTCCAATGTTTCTAATTAAGAAAAGTCTGCCATATATTATATATCCACTCACTTACTTAGTTAATCTGTCTTTTACGTTTGGAGTTTTTCCTGAAAAACTGAAAATTGGTAAAGTTGTACCAGTTCATAAGAAATCTGACGCTCATCTTTTAGAAAATTACAGGCCTATCACTGTACCCTCTGGTTTTTCAAAAATCTTTGAGTATGCATACTTAGAGAGATTGATGAATTTTGTTGAGGGTCATAAAATTATTTCTTCTTCTCAACACGGATTCCAGTCTAGAAAATCCACCATAACTGCCATCTCAGCATTCTATGAGAAAATCTTGGAAAGTATCGAATGCGGCGAATGCCCTGTTGGGATATTCTGTGATCTCAGTAGGGCATTTGACTGCGTCGACCACATGATCCTGTTGAAAAAAATGTATTCATACGGCATTAGGGGTAATGCCTTCAATTGGATTGAGTCCTTTACTAAAAACAGAAGACAGTTTGTCTCATTTACCGATCACCACCGTATATTCAAATCTGGAACTCAAACTCTGGAAATTGGGGTCCCTCAAGGTTCTGTTTTGGCACCTTTATTATTTATATTATATTGTAATGATATGAATACTGCAGTCCCTGAGTATACATGCATTATGTATGCGGATGATACGTCATTATTAGTGTCTGATAAAAGCGACATTTCTTTGAAGGAGAAGTGTAACCGGTCACTAAATAATTTAGTTTTATGGTGCAATTCCAATTCTATGTTTTTTAATTCTGAGAAAACCTTTTCTATTCGATTCCACCATCGACAAAAAACTTGTTCTGACATCAAAATAACTGCCAACAACAGGATACTTTCTAATGTCACTGAATGTAAATTTCTAGGGCTTACATTAGACCACTTTCTGAACTGGAAAGGACATTGTAGCCAACTTACCTCCAAATTATCATCTACCACATATTTAATGAGAAACCTCAAAATGATTTTAACCAGTGATCAAATACTGAATTATTACCATGCTCATGTAGAATCGCGAATTAGATATGGCATTTGTCTCTGGGGTGGTTCTTCATCAGCGCAAAGTGTTTTTGTCGCACAAAAAAAAATTCTCNGAGACAATTCTGGTTCAGAATGTGACATTCTTGAAAGTTTTCACGCCTACTAAATTTTTTCAGAATCACTCTTTGAATTGAATTTAGGTGACCATGATCAGACGTAAACTATTCTAAGAACCTCAGGTGATATCAGAAAATTACAATCGCGGAGTTTTAGTGACTAGTACTCGTATGTTAGATATGAACAAGACAAGTTGGCAAAATTGAATTTTCGTGCCTAACTACTATTTTTCAAATGGCAAACATTTTTTGACAAGCACTTTCCGAAACAAGTATTTTTTGACGAATCTAACGATAATAATGTATTTGTGATTGAATTACAAATAAGAACATAAATTATATATTATACTGAGGAAAGTACTTGAAAATAATGTATTTACTTTTGTCAAGTGTGGCATGGATAGGCATGAAGCATAATATTTGGCAGATATTTCCATCAATTCTTCTTAGGAGAACAAAACACTTAGGTTATGACAGTGACATAAGCATTATGAGCAGAAGGTAAAAGTTTCCTAATTTTTGTTAAATTCTAGTTTGATATTCCGTCAAAAAATGTATATTCAAAGTGAAAAAGTGGATATGTTGTTATTGTTAGGAGAATGCTACAAAAATTCACGGAGCGCTGCTGAGCTGTATGCTCAGAGATATACTAATCGGCAACGTCACTCCTATCAGTATTTTCCGTATGGTGATAATCGTTTTAAGCAAGAGAGAAATTGAGAGGCAGAACAGAGGTTTATCATAAATGAGAAGACTGAGATTAACTTTCTTGCTAGGTTGAGGTTGACAAAACAGTTTCTTTAAGAGAAACTAGTTGAGAAAGGCAAATAAGTCACGACTCAGCATGGAGAATACTGAAAAAGCACAGTTATCGATCATTTAAACATCAGTTACATCAACATTTGTATCTTGACTATGGCGATTGACGAAGTAGTGTTTTGTGATTGGTTTCTTCAATGTCATGAAGTTAACCCAAATTTTATCAACGTTATTCTATTTGCCGAAGAATTACGGCTTACAAATTATGGTTTGTTTAATAAGCAAAATTTTCGGTACTGGGCCCAACAAAACCAACATGCAATTAGAGAGGGTAATTTAAAAAAAGGTTTGGCTCAATGTCTGGGCTGGTATCGTTGCAAACAGAATAATTGGGCCAATATTGTTTCAAGGTCAGTTAACAGGCGTTATGTACTTAGGTTTTTTCTTAAATTAAATCGAGGATTACCTCAATAATCTACCTATAGCAGTTTTACGGCAAATTTACTCCCAACAAGATGGAGCACCTCCTTCCTCATAATACCAAGTTATTGCAACCAATGGTCCAGGACGGTGGCCTGCCCGCTCGCCGGGTCCGACTGTGTCAGATTTCTTCATTTGGAGATATGTTGAAGAAATGTTCTACTATGCAACAGCCCCAGCTACTCTTGAAATCTAGGAAGAAAGGATTCCACATCTATTTAGAAGTATAACACCTCAAATGTTACGTGTTGAGATGAACAATTGTACAACAGAAATATGTCTTGAATAAGAAGGAATACACTTTACTATAATGAAATTTTTAAGAAATTGGGATGTTGCAAAAAATGTAAGTACATCGCTGAAATTATTACTTAATTAATTTTGTTAAATTTGTTGATCCATTCGCAAATAAATTAGTGTCGGGACTGGTGATAGGTGAATTATTAATCAGACGGAAACAGCGTTTACAAATAATAAAATGTAATAATAACACCAACAAAACGACAAACGAAAAAATAATAGTGTAATTACTAGTCACTAAAACTCCGAAATTGTAATTTTCTGATATCACCTGAGGTCCTTAGATTAGTATACGTCCGATCATGGCCACCTAGATGCAATTTCAAAAGTGTCTCTGAAAAAATTAAGAAGGGGTTAAAACTTTTGAAAATGTCACAATGTGATCCGGAATTCAAAAAATGTTACAATATACAGGGTGTTTCATTTAAAAAATTAGAACCAGAGCCGTTTCCGGTGAAACCTGAAGTGACCGGAAACTGATAAATATGTGAAAACTATTTTATTCACATATCGTTTACCTATACCAAATTTCATTTTGATACACCTAATAGTGTAGAAATTATGACTTGTCTAATAGATTCGTTGACACCCGGTGTATTCACCACCATATATAAGAATGTTTATTGATTCTTCGAAATTGCTTAAAAAATGAAATGATCTGTCTTAGAACAATCAAACTTCTACCTATCCTTTTCAGGTCATCGCAGTCGACACCCTCGTCGCCCAGACTCTTGCCCCGCAGAATCCGCGACGCGAGTTCGGTGTTGCCACCTCCTCTGGCCGCTTTCGATGTTGTCGACGCGGGTGGACATGGCAGCGGAAGTGGTAGTGCTGCTTCAGTCAACTGGCAGGAGAGGTGTTTGGAACTGCAGCTGGAATTGCATCGGAGCAGGGCGCAGGCGACCAGGACTAGGGATATGCTACGAGATAAGGTGAGTACCTGAATGACAACAAAATTCTCGGTTCAGAGCGTTCAAAAATATAATGGTTTTCTTTATTAAAGTCAAGGTATGTCATCGCAGATTTTTCAATGTTTGAAGCGACACTATATTAGAATGTTTATGTTATTTAGTCTTGTCGTGAGCGACAAGACTGTGAGGGGTCATTACGTATTTTTTTTTAAACTCAGAATCTCCCTAAAAACTAATTGGGAAAGAAATGACTGAAAAACGTGCTTTCCACATATATAATTTCTAAATGAAAAAATAAAAATTATTGTATCACTTTCCATTAATTTCCAAGAAAAAATTACCTCCATTGATATTGTTCAAAACCATTTGAACACATAATAACCTTCCATATTTCAAATCTCAGTTTTTTTACCATCTTTGTTATTTTTTCTTTCATTCTTCCAAAATGGAACTGAATTTTCGTTTGATTTGTAGTATTCAGGTAGTCTTCGGTTACCACGGTGAGGATTAGTCAGGGTCGGCGTCAAAATATTTGTAACAGAAGTTATGAATGAAAGTGATAAATGCACAGCAGTTATCATGAATCCACAATCACATAAACTTTATCACTTCATTAAATTACATAAAAAGTTCCAATTAGTGAATAATAATGAAAATAACTTTTTCTATCGAAAGTAAAGTTAATATCCTGCTCTGTCCAAAAATCTATTCCTAGTATTATGCCAATTGAAACAATTATATGGTTGAACGCTTCTTAGGCAGAATCATAATAATCCTGTCAGAGGCGGATCCGGTCGGTTTCAAAGGAGGGCTGACTCATAAAAATATTGTTTTAATTTTCCCTACTTTCATGCGTGAATGAGGCCATATTTCCAAATATTTTTATTAATCTGAGTAATTACTATAACTGCACATAATCAGGTCCGAAGCATATGTCTCTCCAGTATGTCAGTACGAGTGACGAGGAGTTGGGAAGGACAAGCAGTGTCCCTTTCCTTTATTCAGAAGTGCATTAGAGCCATCGTATTTTAATAGTCGTTATTTCTATATCGCTTAATTGAATACCGTTATGAAAACAATTTCAAACAATTTAAAAAATTCCAAATCAAAAGAGGGTCTGCAACCCCCTCCGGATCCGCCAGTGAATCCTATAGTACGAGTAAAATAGGTAACAGACTCGATTACAGACTTGATTACAATTTGTCCATCTGAAAACTGAAAAATGATTCAAATTTATTGACGGGTTTCATTTTTTGTTCATGGATACCCTAGAGAATAAAATCCAAAATAATTGTTAATAAACAACTTTGTATACTCGTGTTGGTACAAAATACGTAGTTGATATGTTGTAATACAAGTAGGCAGTGGCGGAAATTGGTTCGAATTGGTGAATTCCACTCCTGTTTCGATTAAATTCACCACTGCAATGAATATTACTGACTTCATTCTATGAAATAAAACCACTGCAACAAGCTATGAACCAACTTTTTCCAACTTCAAAAAACGATAGTACGAATCATAAGACATTGACATATTTTGGTGAATCTACCAATATCGCCCGTTTTTACTAAACAGTTTCATTAAACTTGGCCTGTTTGATTGTTTGGGTTAAATTTCGAAATTGAAGTTCGATCCCCCTTCCTGTTGACAGATTGATCTGGTATTTGGTGCACACATTTATAGTCTAATCAACAAGTTCAAAAACATGAAAAATAGAGATAAAGGTAATTTTCAACGTCAAATCAAAATTATAAACAATGGAGATAGAGTTTCGGGAGTCGGGACTTTTTTATCGGAAATTTCCTCCTCTTTGAAGAGTTTTTTCAAAATTGCTTAAATATTAATATTTCTTGAGTTATTAACGAAAAACTAAATACCTTTTTTTATTCTTATTTTGTCAATTACAATTGCAATTTTATACCTGCACCAAAATCCTTCAAAAATATTTTTCTAGAGGTGATTCTGAATCGAGTCGAATTTTTAGGACCTTTATCTCTATTTTTCATGTTTTTGAACTTGTTGATTAGACTATTAGTTTTGATAACTATACAATTTAATAAATTCTGTATCATTCTGATTCCAAGATGGCCACAGCTACAAAATGGTGGATTACTTATTGTGTCACTACTACCTAAATACGGGTATCAAATGACAGGGCTTGACTAGTAGAATAGTAGTACACTCTGTGAAATATGCAGATTTAAGATGGCCGCAGCTACAAAATAGCGGATTACATATTTTTTCCACAACCACCTCAATATAAGTATCAAAATGACAGGTTTGACTAGTAGAATAATGAAACACTTTGAAATAGATGCAAATTCAAGATGGCCACAGCTACAAAATGACGGATAACATATTACCTTGTAATACTGAGGCACTAAATGAACTAAACAGAATGGGAAAAATTGAGTAACAAAATTAGAAATTAAAAATTAAATAAGTATAAAAAATTTGTTGAACGGTTTGATTGAAAAAAAGGTAATAATGTCCAACGAGTTTATTATTTTTTTATCTGATCTATTGATCAGATTGTAGATTGCCGAAGAGTGTGTTGTGATAACTGCTACCTAGGACCTTCCGAATTATTTTTTAATTTTCAGTACATTATCAACATCTTTTTTATTTCAACAAATCCCTTCAACATATTTTTTTTTACTTATTTTATTTGAAAAATAAAGATTTGGATGGTGCTTACAGAACAAATAATAATTGAGTGAATTTATTAGAACAATAGATATGACATTTTCAATATGGGTTAGCCAAAAAGACACTTGTGGTTTTCGTCCCATATTCAATATTGGTGATATGAGAAGAACGGTTTGAAAATCAACTTTTTGGAATGCTTACAAATCAGTACATTCATAAGTTCCGATCATTTGCAAATATAATTATATAACTCTGCTATGTTGAATTACTTTTTTATAATGAAATTGAAGAAATAATGAAGATTTTTGGTAAGGCACGCGAATCCATGACCATATTGTTTGATTATTTCGAACAGATCTTTCCTAGTGCGCATACGAGTGGCAAATATTGTTTGTCAAATTCCCATAAAAGCAATTGCAATTTTTTCACAGTATATCTGAATCCAAGGTATAAGAACACGCATTAATCTTATGAAAATAAAATCTTTGCTCAAATATACATGCACCGTCAAAAGAGAATGAGATGAGAAATATATATGCGTCTAATATATGTGATAGATAAAATCCTACCTGAATATACATTGATATAATAGTATAAATCTAACTGGAACAATCGTTCATCAAAACTTTATAATGTCACAATATATTGAAAACTTAAGATGAGAAAATGTTTTTTTGCTGCATGTATATACTTTACATAAGCACTGTCATCCAAAAGCACTCCAACCTAACACATGCGATCACAAAAACATGAATATTTGATCGCCACCCTCTTTCCATCATCTGGAAACGTATAGGCAAGGAGCACATTCTCCTTCTGAAATATGAAATATGAATTAGTGCCTTGGTGGTTAATGCACTTTCGAGAACCTGTGAGCCAATTAGAAAATAGTACCTGAAATATAAAAAAAACAAATCTTTCAATTTTTCTATTTACATAATAATGCCTGAAAAATGAAATATCAATAATAGAAAATGAGTTTGAGTATACGTCCTCACAGGACTTCAACTCTTCCATCTCTGTTGCAACAAAGGTGTTCTTCAAAATGTGTTTCAATATTTCGTGTATTGTGACCAACGTCTTCTCAACGAGATTCATGAAGATTGCTCAAAAGTACGCGATAAAGTTGCAAAATTGTTTAATTCTACGTTACAACACTTCCGTTTCGTGGGAAAAATTTTGCAATGGTACAACCTCTTTTCAAGTGGGCAATAGGTCAACACGAATAACTTTGTGACATACACGTGTACTTTGTCGTTCTATAGGGTGATTGTTAATATTCAATATTTTTATCAATGATTTTAGTAGTCATTAACAAAATTAAAAAGACTATCGTTTGCTGATAATTTCAAATTGTATCGAAAAATTCATTCCTTCATAAATTGCTTGAGTTTTAATCGAATCCTAAATATGGTTCGTACAAGTGCTCACTTACTTACCCTTGCAACATGTTGAAGAAGTAAATGCTCTTGGAGGAAATTATGTACGATGTATTCCGTACCAAATGGCCATCCAATACTAAAATTGGCTTCAAATGTTGATGTTGAACTGTTAGAATATATATCTTTAGGGTTATTAAAGTTATCAAAGACTCACTTTGAATATTTTGCGACTGTCCTCTGAAAAGAGTCCATTTTCCATTATGCCTCATCTGTGTGGAGTCCCTTGTATTAAAACTACGGGCATGTTTAGAATTTTCAAAATAAATTCTTGAGAACTGCAGTAATAACATTTCAGTTAGAACATCATGTCTATAGCGATAACAAATTTGATTCAGACTCATTTGAACACTCTCCACAAATGTATTTCATTCGAAAATCAAACGTAGGTAAACAATGTATGATAATAACTTATTTCCAAGAGAACTATCACTGTATTAATTATGTGCAATTTCAAGAATGTTAAACGAACCAATAATTTTGTTGTCAACTTTTGTATTGATTTCACCGTCTAATATTGTTGAATTTTATCAATTCTTTGCACCCTTCTATCAAGATAGAGATGTAATTTTTTGGATTTTTCAATAAAAAAAAAATTAACAATAAACGATTTTTCAATTTTTCGTACACCGTCTCATTCTGATGATATCATTCATAGTTCTTCCACACATCCATGTCAACACAAAGTAGCAGCATTCAACAGTCTGATCCACACTGAATGTTCTATTGTGGATGTGAATTTCAGTGAATACATTCAATGAAACAGATTGCGATCGACAATGGTAGTGACAGGAGTCTAATAGATTCTTTACTATCCAAAAAAATGTACAATCAAACCATTGAGAAATTTTTCCCGATTCCAAGACAACGTTAACATATTTGGGCCAACCTAGTTTGAAGATTTCTAATTTTCTGAAAAACAAAGAT